CGCTCGCAGTGTGAATGACTGTCACCGTCTTTATTGACAGGAGGATGTTAGTTTGTGCCTTTAAATACTACTAATGTAACATAATATAAGGACTAAAATCGAGAAACCAATTCTAGGGCCCATCTGAACCAAGAGCGCCATTCTAAATTAAACATGAAAAAGAATAACTATCCGGCTCAGCATGAGCATTACGAGCCTTAAGCAAAGATACGTACCCAAATGAGAATGAATAGCACATTATAACAGCTGAATTTTCACAATTATCTTAATCCCCGATGTTGCATATCTTTAAGAGCTTATTTTCAGCAAAGACGATGTCCTTCAACAAGTTGCTGTGCCATTCAGGCACAACCAATAGCCTCGAAATTACAATGGTATGGAAAGATAGTTTGATCAATCAGTAATCTAGGTCGTACAATTTGATAAAGGCATGAGTACCGTATCGATCTATTGAAAATGGAATCTGCGAGCCTGTCGAATGACGACCCACACGCTCGTCCTTGAGGTTACTCATTTCTATGTGATAGCGACAGATGCCGAATCCACCGGAATGACTGTGCGGATCACTCGGCTCCTCGAGTGCGTGAACTTTGCCAACAACACTGCCAATCGGACTGAGTTCGCTCACGGCAAATGTGTAGCTGGGCTTAGGAAATACTGGGCCATGACGATTTAGCACAATAATATGCACCAAAGCTCTAAATAAGAAAAGGAAAAAGGAAGGAGAAAAGAAGAGAAGAGAATGGGATATTTTCAATTAAGCATGCTTACTTTTTCTTTAGCTATTTAAAATTATATTTTCTTGGTGGCGTTGAGAAGCATGATGCCAATTCAAACTCTGGTTCCAACAGTATTTTAGTTTCCCTATTTTTTCGATTAACTTTTAATTACGAATATGCATGGTCTATCGACTAATAAGACTTTTTGAACAAATTTAATTACGTATCCATTAGACGCCTTTTCTTTCAATTAGCCCACTTTGTTTTTTTTAGTGTAGGTTCATCTTGCGATGAATATAATTTCCTTCATGTGATTTAAATATAGCATCTTCTGAATCAAAAACTGCAGATATTACATACTGGTACAAGTGGTAAAATATAAAATACATGGAAGTTGTTTGACCTCGCTAGTTACCTGCTCGCATCATCACCACCAATTTCATCTAAGTAGAAAATTACAATTCTGGATCCTTCTAGTGCCAAAAAATTATCGTACCTTAGTCAAATGTGCTTCGTAAAATGTAGTTATGCTCTAAAGTATGTATAGAATTCACAAAAAAATAGGATGCTTAAGGCAGAAGAAACTATTTAACTTGCTATCCAGCCCTTTATTCTAACCATCTATTTTGACCGATAAAAACTCTTTCTAATTGAAGGCGTGAAGACCTAGATGATGTGACCTTTAGTATTGTCGCTGTATACTTTCGTTGTACAGAAGTGGTTTGGCCTTGTTTTCGCAACGTGATCATATTACCAGGGAGACCTAGAAGAACGTACCTTGCCTAGAGTTCATAGTATCCATGAGAATTTCCAGCGTCGGACTGTGGACTTGATACATTCCCAGACGCGTCATCAGCATCGTGAGTGAGCCTTGCCATTCTT